ATCAAGCGAGCCAACTAGGTCAAGCTGATATTCTCCTGTCTATGATATAGAAAAAATTATTAGGCAGTAAGATCAAAGGAAAAATGTAAAAATTGCCGATAAAAATTGGTTTTCAAGAAACAGACGAAACTTGTATTTTACTAATGATTCCGATATACACCTTATCGATATTTGTCCGCCATTACTGGACATCAAAAAGGTTCCCGTAAAATGTTGACGACACAATAGACAATATATGACGCCACATTGGAAAAGTGATTGTTGTATGACGTCAATAGTTCAAGCGGCGCAGATTAGCGGATCAAGCGTCGCAGTTTCCAAATAGCGATAAGGTCTATTCTACTTTTGTAAGTAGAAAAAAAGGGGAAATCACTTTTCAGAATTTGAATTTGAATCAGAATCTTTGTCATTAGCTTCAATAATTTAATCTGATTCACTTTGAGATCTTTTATTTTATTATTATCTCCTCCAAAACAAAGTTGACAAGGGGATATATAGGAATGTCATTGTGTTTGTGCAGGCTATATACATGGTTTATATACAATCAGAATTTATAGATTTAGTTTGATAAAAAAAGTCAATGTCCCATGCACATTTAAGTTTAAAAAATCCAGGTACCATGAAATATTTTCCCTTAAAAAGTGCATGTCCCATGCTTATTTACACCGGTCTCATGCCTTGATAAATTTTGACCGATCCCTAAGTCAAGAAAAATTGTGAATAATTAACAGATAGATTATCAAAGTTGTGCCATTAACAGCAAACTCATTCAAACATGAAGATAATGACGATTAATGCAGATGGAGCGTTCATTCCGTTTTTGCGGTTTGTAAAGCAAATTTTTTTTCCCATGTAATATTTATGTAAATTGATAATATCTTCCGTCTGACGTTATTTTGATTTTCATCTTTGCAGTGTAAAGTTGTCATTTGTGTCTTTAGCTTGAACCAATTAATCAAAAGTTCAATTCACAAACAATACTGTGAATACATAATAAGTAATCAAAGAAGCAAACATGTAAAATTGTATTGTTATTCTCATTAGAGTCTTTGTTAATATACCTCCTTCAACGAACGCTGTATATATTCTATAGAAAACCATTCGTAATATTAATTTAAATTAACAAAATCAATTTTCAAGGTTATTTTCTTTAACGTTTTTTTTTTTGCAAGATTAAGTGATATCGCTTTAAATAGGAATTAAAAAGTAGATCTTGAGTATACGTCAATGACCCGGCAACCACTAAACTAAGCAAAAATGTCAAAAACACAATCTAATTAAAATATAAAACTCTGCTTTCGTTTTACTCCATATGAGCTCAAATGGAGTAAAACGAAATCAGAGTTCTATATTTTAATAAGATTGTCAAAAACAAAAAGTCAAAATACTAGATAACAGTCTAAACCACAAAGATAAATCGCCCTGAATCTGTAAATAAATTGAACAGATATATATTATCGATACTTAAAGTGGCCTGAAACTTTGTGTGTTTTTGTGATGTTATGTTGGTTCTAGTCGATGTATGCATCCGATCTCCTTTTAGTAATAGTAATATAAGAGAGGGACGAAAGATACCAGAGGGACAGTCAAACTCATAGATCGAAAACAAACTGACAACGCCATGGCCAAAAATAAAGACAAACATACAAATAATAGTACAGATGACACAACATAATATCTGTATAACTTACAGTTGGTACTTGATATACATTAGTTGCAATTATAAGTCTGCAACTTAACAACTTTTGAAATGTTTTTCTCAATTAGCGTGATTTTAGACAAAGAAAAGTGTGTCTATCTATTTTGTAATGTTACACTATTGTTTAAGATAAGGGTGAAGGTTTGGTACCATTAAAACGTTTAGACCTGCTGCAATTGTTTGCACCTGTCCTAAGTCAGGAATCTGATGTTCAGTAGTTGTCGTTTGTTGATGTGGTTCATAAGTGTTTCTCGTTTCTCGTTTTTTATATAGATTAGACCGTTAGTTTTCCCGTTTGAACGGTTTTGCACTAGTACTTTTTGGGGCCCTTTATATTTTGCTGTTCGGTGTGAACCAAGGCTCCGTGTTGAAGACCGTACCTTGACCTATAATGGTTTACTTTTATAAATTGTTACTTGGATGGAGAGTTGTCTCATTGGCACTCATACCACATCTTCTTATATCTATAAACGGAATTTTGTAGAAAAAGAAGACAATGCATTAATAAATACAATTCAACAAACCATAAATCAATGCACTTATCATAACCTGTATAAGAATTATGGTATGTAGGTCATAGTGTACTTTATATTTTTAATTGCTAAACAGTTTTACTGCAATAGCTATGAAGCCATAATTAACCGTCTATCGTTTAGTTTTGTACTTTGTTCATTTAATCGGTATTCAGAATATTATAAAGTAAAACGGTTCCGTCCAACCCAGCAACTTCTAGTGAATTCGTCAGCGCATTGAGATGAAGCCTCCATGGATTCGCCATATCCTTGATTTGTAAATCTCTGCTACGTTGTCCATCTGAAGAAAGTAGTAAAATACAGTTTGATTTATATGAAGCAACATACACATTGCCGCTATTATCAACAGTTACGCCACGTATAGTTATGTTCAAAGCTTTAGAACTGAATTCCCATAGCTTCTCTCCTTCCATTGTGTAACACCTAACAAACACATTAGACGCTGTTTGATAAATTTTATTCTTGTGTACTGTTATATATGACCAATTGTCAAGATCCTTCTGTATAACGAGATCAGTAACATTTCCGTTAGATAACTGCATCACCTGAATTCCTTTATATAAAACATTACAAATCAATTTTCCATTGTAGTACCAAATTCCCTTACAGTCTCCGCTTGTACAGATCGCTCTCTCTGTCACCTTAGAGTAAATTTTAATGATTTCTATCGTGTAGCCTATAGATGCAGCAATTGTTCTGTCATCGATAAAGGTGACATCGTTGCAGGAAGTTGAATACTTCTTAATTAAATCAAAAGTTCCGTTATTGTACAGAATACCGAGTTTACCATGATAGTCCGACACCACCATTAATCCACTCGACGAAATAGTAAAACCACGAAGGTTGAAGTGTTCGTCAGTGGGAAAAGGTAATTTGGATTTAAGAGAAATACTTATATTATCTATTGACTTCACGGGTACAGCAGAGAAAATCTGAGCTTGTTTCTCTTTGTCTGTTTTTAAAACGATACATGATTTTGCTGTCTCTATAGATACTGATCCATAGCATACAATGGTGGTCAATATATCTGATATTTTTTCACTTATGTTACATGTTAGGTTGGTTTGATGGATACTACAATCATCAATCAGCGACTGAAAGAATTTTTCCTCTCTCTGCACTTCCATTTCAATCGATTTACTTCCCAGAAAAGTTTGTAGGTCGGATGCATATTCTTTCACAGACGAAATGCTAATTTGCAAAGATTCTACCGTGTTTATTTTTTCAGAAAGTTGCGTTATTAAAGTTTCTATCTTCGACTTGATTTCCTGTTCAGCTGCATTCATATCTGCCAAAATCTGTTTTTCTAGTGAATCTAAATGGAAATTTACCTTTTTTCGTATTTGTTTTATTTCAGTGTAAAAGCACTTTCTCTGATTTTCGATTGTAGCCAGATTTCGTTCTCTATCTTTCAATATATTATCATAATTAAACCTCAAATCTTTCAGACTATGTTCAATGTTTTCGAGCCAAGCTGAAGCTTTGGAAGATTTAACGATCTCTTGCAAAGACATAAGTCCACTGCAATTTTTATGTAATTCAGAAATACACACCGGGCAACAGGTTTTGTCATGCTGTGGACAGTAGTTCTGATATTTTAAGTTGTGTTCATTGCAATATGTGGCTATTTTCGAGATTGATGACGGCAACTTCAGATAATTTTCAATACTAATAGTTTCGTGGTTTCGAGTTCCTTTTGAAAAGCTATGATGTTTTTGACATTCGGAACATAAGCCTTCTTCACATTCAGGACACCAATAGATGGCAGATTTTGTGATATGTTGAGCTTCGCATATTTCACAAAACACTCTACTAGAAGTCGCCATTCTGGAATATTTCAAAATTAAAACAAATTAAAACTGGATCAAATAAACTTTTGTTATTCAATAGTTAAGTTCGTGTTGCGCATGTTCTTGTGTATTTTGTATTTGTATATATGTCGGTACGTTTTGCAATTGCCCACGCTCAGCAGTACTCTTAACAATATTAGTTTACTGATCTGTACCCTTTAGTACATGATCTCGTTCTATTTTTACCATTGTGACATTTCAGTTTAACAAACTGAATATGCGGAAAAGTCAGGGATTAAACCGTTGGTTTCTATTCTGTATTATTCATTGCTTATCTAATGATATTGCCGGCCTTTGTCCATATCCAAAATCGTTTAGGGACCTGTGGATGTGTACATATTAATTTCCACCCGTTGATGCAACACATTATCATCTCAAACACCAGACCGCTTCTTTGTTTCGTTTGTGTTATAAATATATACAAAAAGTGAACTGACGTGTTTGCCACACCTCCTTTCAATCATACATTTGTAAAGAAATGTATGATACCGAAGAAAACGAAATAAAATAAAATTGGAATCCATCCTTTTCTAGGTGGAATTCCTTGAAGTTCCATTTAAAAGCTCTATGGCCGATATAACATATGTTTGTCGGAACAAAGACGACAATTTATATTATACGAATGTTTATTTAAATTCAATTAACTTATATTACATATACTTGCAGTGTAAATTTGAGGAAGCCAAATTTCCTTGAAAAAAATTGTGACTTGTATTAACAAATTTACTGTGGTATTTCATTCTCCGTAATGGTTGATTAATTGATTATCTGATTAACGTCCAATATTTTATGAAACATAAACACGATCCAGGACGATATTCATAACGAATATTGGTCAATCAATATATATCAACCTCCTGCATTTATTCTATATATTTAATAAATATGTCGCCATGGTTATTGTGAGTGTATACATACCTAAAGCTAATTTTGTTACATTCACAACTGGTTTTATTTTTTGAAGTGATACAGGGAAGTGAAATGTACAAAGTCCAATCACAGGTAGCGCACCTGGTTGAAAAATTTCTTTACATATTGAATACATAATCCATCTAGCACTATCGTAGTTGTACTTATAAATTTAAAAAACGCTTTTCTAGATTTACCTTTATTTTGAAGGCTCAAATCAATATAGTTTAAAGCCAGGGATGTATAAATACGTAGAAATGTAAGAAGCAATATTACCAAATTTACAAATGGGTCCTGAAAGGAATAGACAAATTCATCTAAGGTCAGCATTGTCTACGGGAGTTGCATCCATAGCTTTTTCAAACATTTCTGAAATTTATCATGTTTATCAAACATTTAAAGATGACACAAACATTCCTGATAAAATGTTAAATAGTTTATTTTCTTCTCTGAAACAACTTTTAACCAATTTTGCAGAAACAGTGTGCAAGAGGTCAACCACAAGTAATCCTCATTTGATTAGGATGAAAAACCAGCAGCAAATTCTAAATCATAAGGCTATAACATTGACTGCACCAGCTGTGTATTTCGACAATAAATGCCTCTTCAGTGTTCCTCGAAGCCAAAATATTTGAGAGTCCAAAACCTAATAAACACTGACGAGCTGATAATACAAAAAACGACCAATAGAAATGTCAAATCTGGAAAGGAATCAGAGCTATGCGCGAAGGAGATACATTCATCATAACATTAACGGCACCAATTTATTGCACCAGATGAGCATTTCGACTAATTAATGCCTCTTCAAATATATTCAGCCGAATTTTTTAAAATCCAAAACCTAAAACAAAATATAAATTATGTCAGTACTGAAGCACGGACTACTGGACTGGTTATACCCTCGGGAATAACAGTCAACCAGCAGCAGTATCAACGCAGTGAAAATAACATTCTTAAGTGTGTGCGTCCGAAGCACTTTTCTTGATTTCCCTTAATCAGGAACGCTCAAATATACAATATTTGAAAGTCAGGGATGTATAAATATGTCGAAACGTAAGCTCTATGACAAAATAAGGCATGCAAGAATAGCGGAATTCTTATATTGTCAACCTTTGTTGAGGAAGTTGAAACTTAGGTTTTTTTTTAATAATTTCTTTATCAACGAGTAATTTTATAATAGTAGGTTATAATTCATGCCAGTGCCAAAGCACAGATTACTGAGCTGATGATACCCTCGGAGACTACCAAACCTACCAGCAGCAGTATCTTTCTTTTGTTTTGGCTTCCAAAGCCCATTTTTTAATTCACCGTGTTTAAAAACATTAAAAAATGACACAAACATTCCTGATAAAATGTTAAATAGTTTATTTTCTTCTCTGAAACAACTTTTAACCAATTTTGCAGAAACAGTGTGCAAGAGGTCAACCACAGGTAATCCTCATTTGGTTAGGATGAAAAACATAGCCAGCAAATGCAATCTTTTCTGGTTTGCCAACTTTAAAAATTCGTAAGGGTTCCGCGGAACCCAGTGTCTCGCCTACTTTTGCTGTTAGTCGCAGCCTCAACAAAAATGGGGAAAAAATTATTAAAAATTTCCCTCTAGATACTATCTTTTGATTGTAAGAAGCTTCTATCCAAGTTTGGTAAAAATCCAGGATGGTTTATGAATCTAATAAATGTTTTAAAAACTTTAACTGCAGACTTTATGTAATGTTAACTGGAAGAAAAACTAAGTCCATTTATAAGTAATATACGGAAAAACAGGAAATACATTTTTACAAAATTTCCTTCTAGATACTAGCTTTTGATCATAAACAAGCTTCTGTCCAAGGTTGGTAGAAATCCAGGATAGTTTAAGAAAGTTATTAAAATTTCAAAAACTTTAACCACAGTGAATATTTGTGGACGCCGCCGCCGCCGACGACGGAATGTAGGATCGCGATGTCTCGCTTTTGCGACTTTTGTCGCAGGCTCGACAAAAATCTCCTATGCCATTATAAGGCCAAAAACTTTAATCTAAAGGGATGATTAGAAGAACTAATAACCATTCTCATTTAATGTGGATCAGATGGCAAACATGGCAGCATATAACATTGAAACCTTTAGAACAGTCTTAAGTGGCATGTTCTTCACTCAGATTACTTTAGCTAATTCTAACTAAGCTTGACAACAATAAAGTAAATAAGCCCTAACAAGTGTTCTTTAATTTCAAATAGATAAAAATATGGCTTTTGATTTTGATAAGCCAACTTTCTAAATGGCATTTGGTTTTGTTGTCCAATTTTCAAAAATAGCTATTGATTTACCAATGTGCTACATGACTTTTAACTTTGATAAGCCCCATTTTCAAAGTCTTTTCTTCTGAAACTACATGGTGAAAACTTTTAAAACTTGAGAAAATTGATGAAAACAAAGTCATCAGAATTTTTTTAGATGTTATCTCCTATGATAAAGGAAGAGGTAAAGATATCAGGTGGACCATTTTGGATCCAGAACCAGTAGTTTATTTTTCTGCTGCTGTTTTTTTCTTTCTTCTATTTTACAATTCAAAATTGCATTTAAATACTCGAACCTTAAACGATGAGTTTCAGACTAGCTTCATGGAAACCTCTTAGATGACATGTAATCAGGTCACAATATAATAGTAACATATTTTTGTCAAAACCTCAAGTCTGTATAGCATTAAGGTGTTCTGTATGCACATATAAGACTCTTGAATAAAGCAAGATATTTTAAGTTGAAAATCAGTAGGTTTTCGTCTGCTGATCAAATATATCTTTTAGCAAGTTTCATGCAGAACTAAAGTCTTCATTGCAAGTATTTAGGGACATAAGTCTTACTATTCCTTGATCTTTTAATACCCTCATCTTTAGTATCAATTACAGCAGCAAGTAATATTAACCTGGAGTTGACATTACCGTACACTTAGGGTCTATTGTATACATTACAGATATTAGCAGTATTACTTTGATAATTAATAAATATGATCTATAGATCTATAGATAAGAAAACATTTCCTCCTCAAACAATTACAGGTATCAAAATAGTACAGAACACTGGATACAGAACAATGTATGATGCACACACTGCATATAGTAGTAGTATTTCATGTTTGGTTGAAATCAATACAGTTGTTTTCAAAGACATCTGGGTAATTTTATATCACGGATACATAATGTCAAATATGATTAATTCCAATGGTTATCTTTGCGTCATAGTGTTTGGTTTTAGGTGATGTTATTTGACTTCATTAGAGCGTTCATTGGGCATCAAATCTACGTAAGTACATTGAGCTGAGGGATAAATATTCTAATGGGGACAACTTCCACATGACTGCTTCGATCCCTGTTTTTAAATGATAAAATTGATATATTTCTTAAAGCAGTTTGGATTATGTGAATAAGAATAAAAAGTCACAATTCCTTTATCAGTTCAAAAAATCAGGGATCCAGTTAGCCCATAAAACGTTTAAATAGCATGAGAAATCAGAGTATAGTAAAAGAGTATTTCTGGTAATGGATTTGATATTGCTCAATAAGAACAAAACATTATGTAGAAAACTAAAGACTGAGCAACATGAACCTCCCAAATCAAAGCGTTTAAGCTCTGGACAAAGCATTTGCCATATATCTTAAAGAAGAAGAAAATGTTTAAATCTAGATTTTTTTTGTAAACTGTTTCAATACGAAATACTGGGCATCATAAACCTGTTCGGTAATGCTACATCTTAATACCACAAATTACAACATGGAATTAAACACGAATTGTTGCAGATCCGCAAACAGAGTAAGGTTTACAAATACAATACTCTGATTAAATTAACAAAAGTATTTTGATATTCAAACAAGCAAGATAGCCCCTATTTATTCTTTTAAAACAGCAGACTACACGAATGAATTTTATTTTTACAGGACATTCGGTCTGGTTTAACATTCTAGCTTTACCAGACCGAACAAAATTTTACCAGACCATTTTTTTTACATCTTATTGTATGTTATCCGACAAAATACAACAAACTTCTGACTTGTTGTGCCCTACTCATCTCCAAAATGCACAAAAACAAAATCATGCGACAAGAGTGTATATTTTGATGAAAGTTGTGCACAATTGCTTGAATGCATTTCAGTGATAAAGAAAAGTAATGTCACATGACATGAAAATTATTTTGTTTCTGTATAAAATATTTCCTGTTTCTTCTTTTTTTTTCATATATCTTTTGGTTTTCAATTCTTTTGTTTATATTTCATAGCTGTATTTTGTGACCTGCTTGGATTTTAAAAATTTGCCTTATCCGTTCCTGGAATCTGATCCGGTATTGTCTACATTTCCGGTTGATGGCAGCCATTGGTTGTTTTTGTCAGTAAAATATGTTTTTACTCGGATTTACACATTACTTGTTGCCGATTTTCGGCATAAAGCTAGTGGTCCAACAAAATAAACATCGCTGTCATGAATAATGAAGATGAAAATGAATTTTGAGATCGTTTGGGAATTTTGTTAGAATGATAGAAAAATCCATGAAAAAACAACACCGGACATTCGGACCGGAATTCAACAAAATTTTACCAGACCGATCCATTATTCACCGGATTTGTCCGACGAATTTCGTGTAGTCTGTAACAGCAAAATTTAATTTGTAAAAAATAAAATCAACCATGTTGGCACAGTTCAAACTGGTAATAAGACTGATCGTGATTAGCCAATAGAGGGTGCAGATTTTCTTAAATCACTGCATTCATAAATGAAGTCTGTTACGTAACCTCTAGCAGATCAAAATTTCTAAATAAAAGGGTTAACTGTTAAACTTCCATTTCAATATTGTGTTTGAGGAATTCTTAATCAAATCAACTCCATCTTCAATACAAAAGTCAAACAAACACATACTTTTCAACAATCTTCAAAGAACTGTAGAATGAAAAATGTGTGCACTCTATTTCACGTCAACAAAATGGCATTTACAGGATGACCATTAAAGCAAATGCTTTTAAAAACAGAAGAGAACTATGTGCTCTGGAATTGTAAGCAGTTCCTGCTCTACATGTGGCACCTGTCATGTGGTTAACAAAATTAAACTTGTTTCCTAACACCACAATTTTTAAGAAAATTTGAACAATAAGAATATAATAATGATTTTAATTGATAAAGCTCTGTTTTATGTTTCTTCCTTTAATGCTGATGTCCATACATCACTGGAAGGTTTCTCAGGAAGAACAAATCCATCAGGAATTCTACTGCCCCCTGGTGTTCCTTCAAGTACACTGAATCTGTCCCAATCACATCTATAATTATATAAAAATAACATTTCAGTGTATCAGGGAGGTTCAAATAATATAATTTTTGGCTTATAGGTCTTGGTTACCTCTTCCTTTGATCTATAGACCACATCCTTGTTTCATATTTGTTATAGTCATACAACTGATATAAACAAAAGATGCAATTAAAAATATTGAACTGCTGAAGTTAAAAATCTAATTAAAGTAAACTAGACTGATTGGCAATCATACCTTACTTACTTATCTTTATGATTACTTATCTTTATGAAGAAATAATTTGAATACAACCAATTCTATTATTTTGCCTTTATAAAACTTTATACAATTCTAAAGATAATTGAGCTGTGATACTTTATATGATTTTCTATCAAATTTTAGACTGTATCTTAATACATCTTCCTCATTGTGAACAAATTCAAAAATTATTGTGCTGATTTCCAAATTAATGAGGAATAAAAACTGAAGGAAATCACCCACCATTGGGAAAGTTTGATATTAATCTTTTTATGGAAGGAGTAATCAGAGATGCAGATATTTTTCCCCCAAACACTTGGAATTGGCAAGTAAGACAGTTTTGCCAACTTATCAGTTTTTTGTTAGACCTACTGTTTTGAAAGTATTCTAATAGTTTACTTTCGATACAGTAGGATTAAAGAACACCTTAAAGCCTTGACACAGACAGTGACTAGAAGAACCAGGTAAAGGATATGGCTGTGGGGTGTTTTTTTTTAAACCAAGTTTAGATCCCTCCTTGAACTTAATTATCCCAGGAGAGCTAACAGAAACAATCAACCAATAGCAATCATTACCAATAGGATACAAAATACACTACAGAATTGGAATTGGGCCTGAAACTTAGCTAAATAAACTGCTTCGCTGAGCGCAGCTGGATACGCCCGCAGAGGTCCAACCCTGAACAGTTGGAGCAAAAATGGACACAATATTCAAGCTTGATACAGGTCTGAATTTGGATTGTTATTAAATATTTGACATATTATAGGTTTCTGAATAAATGTAGTCAAAGAACTTGAAATTGGTTATATGAATTGAATTTATATTCAATTAAAGATTTCTTGCTGTTGTACAATACACTGTGTTGTTGTGCAATACACTATGCTGTGTCGCAATACTTAGTAAATCTGTTGTCAGACTATAAACAAATAAAATCTTATAACACGGAAACGTAAAATCGAAAATTTATAAAAATCAAAAGGGAGCTTACATCAATAGATATAAACAATTTACCAAAGTTTCATAAAAAATGCTTTCAGCATTTTTCAGTTATTGTCTGAAAACTGGAAAATCCCCCTTTTTGTAATGAAAAAAAACCCATAAATCGGAAACGTATAGTCTAAAATTTATAAAAATCAAAAGGGAGCTCATGTCGATAGAAATAAACAATTCACCAAAGTTTCTTGCAAATTGGTGAAATTGTTATTGAGTTATTGTCCGAAAACTGGAAAATCCCCCCCTTTTTAATGAATAAAACCCCAAAACTCGGAAACTGTACATCTGAAATTTATAAAAAACTAAAGGGAGCTCATGCCAATAGATATAAACAATTCACAAAAGTTTCATGCAAATTGGAGAAATTGTTTTCGAGTTATTGTCCGAAAACTGGAAAATCCCCCCTTTTTTAATGAATAAAATCCCAAAACTCTCAAATGGTAAATCCAAAATTTATAAAAAACGAAAGGGAGCTCACATCAATAGATATAACCAATTTACCAAAGCTTAATGCATATTGGTTAAAGCGTTTTTGAATTAATGTCCGACATGTTGACGACGGACGGACAGACGGACGGACAGACGAACAGACGGGCGGACAACGGTATACCATAATACGTCCCGTAAACGGGCGTATAAAAACAGATAAGAACAGTAATATTTACCAATTTTTTTAATGACTTTTGACTTTTTTAAAGACAACCAAAGAGCCTACCATCACCAACTGAAATTACTTTTTGACAGTCCAATGTTTGACGGTCATTAGGTCTGACAAAAAGACTTCATTTGCCAGACCTTCTTAATTCTGCTACCTACGTCGGACAAGGCTTACAATTAGCTGCATCTCTGATTTATGCCAAAGTTGAAGGATGTTGGTTAATATGAACTTCTGTGCTTATATAGTAAAAATATGCTTTTGTAGGGGAACAGAGTGACCAGTTACTCTTTACATCTTTGTCCATTATTCACAACTGTCTTGATAGCAAACAATCCAAATCTCCTTGTGTATATCATATGAGAGCAAATTAGCACTGACCTGATTTGGAGTAGGGAATCAACAGATACATGAGCTTGGTCATAATACTGACTAAACATAAACATTGGATCATTCATATCTACTGGCTCTGGAAATACAAATCATAGGAATACATGAATATTCAGCAGCCACTTAAAAATAAAATAGAAATAATGAGCAACATGTTTATATCTTAGATACTATTATAGTGTGTGTTTTCATCAAATTAATGGTGGTTGATCCAAACCATAGTTTCCATAAACACATGAAATGTGTTGCATGTAGAATCTCACAATAGTATGTGTTTTTTGGTTATTCAAAGTCAATTCTTATTTAAAAGTTTTGATCTGTTCAAAAATAGTTAGTTACACATAGAATATTATATGTCTTTTTTAATATCACACCATATCAACCCATACACCAATATAATCCTGAGCTCAGTTGAGGTTTCATACGGTGTGTGATTTTGATAAACTCTCAGAATTTTTCTGTTTAGGTTAGATAAAGCCTCCACAACCATGACTGATATCAAATCATAACAGATGGCTGATATATATAGAATGACTTTTAATGACTGTATTATACATTAAATTATATTTACCACCAAGTATCTAATAAAGATATTTTAACTTGTCTTGCATAAGGTATACATTTGTTGACTTTGAAAATAGCTGTGTATTTGTTTTTTCTAAATTAAGTCCTGTTTATTAATTTCACATTTTACCTCATTTGTCAATAGTTGTATAAGATGCTTAAAAAAATACTTCTATTTGTAAACAAAAAAACAAGACATTATCAAATATGGAAATTCAAGCTGAGAATCAATATAAACTCACAATATTTCTGGTGGTGAATATATAAACCTATATGAAATTCTTGTAATTTCTCTTGACTGTTTAAATGAGTTCATATAAGGTATGTCAAACATTAATTTTATTTACCTGATTCACCAAATAATAAATGATCCACTTTTTTCTGTCTTTTTATTTCCTGACTGCGTAAAATCTGTTGTAATTTCTCTCTTTCTTTCTCTTTGTTCTCTTCCTGTTCCGTATCCAACATGACCTATAAACAATAAACTTGACACTGAAAATCTGATTATGTTTAATTACTCTGCCTTTTTTAACTTGAAGCTCTGGACTTTTATGCCAAATGAAAGTGTGGACAAAATGAATGGCTTTGATTTTAACATACCAAAAGATTGTCCAGGATATTTCTACTATTTCAGAATTAATGGTTGACATTATATAGTTATTTTGATAAATGCATTTCTTCAACTTTATTTAACTGAGTATTTTCAATAGAGAACTTTCTTTTTTAACTTCACATCGTTTGTACTCTGGTGTCTACTTGCCAATCATACCACATCTCCTTATCTTATATTAGTTTTCTAAAGAGGAGATTGGGGGATTGAAAGTTGGGGGAATTAAAGGAACATGTAACCATATACACTTTATCCAAGAACAATCACATCATATTTCTTCTATATTGCCACAAGATGGATGAATCGGATTTCAAGATGAATGACAGCAGTACAAACTTTTTTCCTTTAATACACTATTCCCAAGTTCTTTATGGATTTGTCACCTCAAGTACATCCATATATATATCATAGACAACAAGTGGAAAGATAAACCATATTTAAGTCACCTCGTATTTATACATATATTTTATCAATTGCTCTTGTTGCTTTAAAAAATGATGTAGGTTGAGTTAAAGGCAGAAAGGATTAATGTCAACTCAATGAGATGATTTAACTAATAGGGACATTACTAACCTGTAGTGCTTTATTTTCAGCAGTATAAACTTTCTTTTGTGTTTTCGCAACAGCCAGGCAATCTTGAATTTTATCCTCAAAATCTGCATCACTCTCAGGTTTTGTGTTTACTCCTAAAATGGTAAACTATTTAGTTTAAATTAAAAGAAGCGTATCTTATACTTAATTATAACAGACTGGGATCAAAACTAATCAAAGAGTATGTTCCCATCCTGCTATGAACAAAATCTTATCAGATAAAATGTACCCTTACTAGTGTGGAAAAATTCTGGTGTAATTTAAACTTTCTAAAACATTAAACCATTGTTACACAATTAAAAAAAAAATAGCTAAGTAGGTCTCTGATATTTTTAAAATTCATCAATTAGTATACCGGGTAATGAAATGCATTGGAAAATTATCCTTTTTTCATGAGAGAGTATTGTATAAGATAAAAAGTTTCGATTAAGATAACGTTTTAATGAGTGTAAAAAATATGTGTCAATGTAGCTCCCTTTTTTGTCACCTAATAAGGTCTAAAAGAGAATCTTTGTAACAAAATCAGGTCCATTATTCATATAATTGGTCAATGACACTCACAAATAACCTGTTTATCTTACAAAGAAAAAAATACTGGTTATTTCATATAGAAGACTATTTATGTATCTTTTCTACTAGGTGCAAAGATAAGCATTTTTTGTATGTTACAAACCTTGCTGTAATAATCTATCTTTCCTCAATTTTCTGAGTTTAGTCAGATTTTTCAGTAAATCTGTGGCTCTTGTAATATCTTGTGTTTTCTTTCTGATTTCACCCAGAACTTTGTCTGCAATCTTCTTCAACTCTTTTTGCTGTATAATACACCAACACAGAAATATATAAATAGGGCTTCACAATTCTAGTAAATTGTTACCACATAAAACAGACATTCTGCGATTGAAAAAAAAAATCAAGGTCATACATAAAAAATTGAATGTGTACAAAAATATTTTCTAGATCAAGCTTCAACAAGAATGCACAAGGTTAAAAGTTCTTTTTCCAAAGTTTTCAGTCGATCAATTCAAAAATAAATGTGCATTCTTTATTTTCAGAAAATAGACAATTCAAAATTGCTAAATAAAGATAGTTTTAGTAGGGATACACTCTGCTATATTTAGAGTGATTACAGAACATTCTTCTTTGGGCAATGGAAGTTAAAAATCATAGGATTACTACATCAATTATTCAATTATATAAGAACTCTGCTGAGAAACTAAATGATGTTTGGATCTTTTCAAATTGTGAGAGCTATTTAGTTGAACTGAAACCTTCCTAAATTTTGTTAGCCAAAAAGTATATAATATGTATTTATCCTCTTTGTTATTTAGTATATTTGATCACCCACTAATACTGAACTGGTCTGATTTTTATAATGAAAGGATTATAATGAAGTTCTTTCTTTGTAAAACTTGAAACTTTTGTTTCACATCACAACCCTTAGATACATAAACAAACACTACCTGTCTTTTGTTACCATATTTATCATGGACTTTCTTCAATCTCCCATCTATTTCTTTGTGTAATTGTTCTCTCTGTTCTAATTCTCTCTGTCTAGATAAATATTTCTCTTCTCTTTGTTTCTTTATCCTTTCCTTTAATGAAAGTTCATTTAATTATAAGCATACAAAAATTCTTGCAAGAAATACACATATTTTGCTAATTTTGCTTCTATTGGTGAGTTTTTGTTCATGGAGGATTACCCAAAATATATTTTTATTTATAAGTCTTAATCAATTTCAAATTTGAAGATCAACATTGTTTGTTAGGGTAAATTTGTATATAAATACATGTATATGGCATGTTACTAACATCTTTCAAAATAAATTAATGTTTATAACAAATTAATATTCTATTTATCTTGGTAGGTGTCAATTCTTTAAGGTTGTTTTGTATTTGTAAGCTGTTATTTTTTTATTTTTTTTTATTAATTTGTAATATCTGCCAGAAGATACAAGATAGTCCAGTTGTCAATGTACCACGGTATGTTTGTTCTGCAAAACAGAAGTTCCCTGGAAACTTTTTTTTATAAACAATGCCATAATATCTGTTCCTGATGGAACAAATATTCTATACCCTTTATTCCGTAAGGAACAAATACTGTAATATTTGTTCAGTGGAAATATTATAACAGAATAATTCTTCCACTAGGAACTTATATTATGACGGAACTTCTATTTCATGACACAGTGAATAAATCAAAGTTACTGGTGGTGAGATAGTCAGTGTGAGTTAAAGTGTAATCTCCCTTATGATCCTGTCTTAAATTATCTGTTAGCAACATACTTAACACAGGGTCCGACACTTACGGTTGTCCGATTGCCCGGGGCAAGTTAATGCCGTATTCGGACAAGTAAAAACATCATATTGGTTGTCGGATCTGGCAAGTGAAAAAAAAACTGTTATATGATTAAAATTTCACAAAATCATTAGTGTCTGTTGTTTTGTCCATAGATTACTCAGTGATAACACCGCACGGTCGAGTAAAGTGGTCTTAACCCCCCTTCAATGCGTATATTTCGTCATTTGTTCGCACTGAATTCCCCCATTTTACCAAAAATAGATCATGTTTAAAAATCTTGGCCAATCAGGCGGCCGCGTCTTTGCTTCGTCATTATCGTTATCAATCGGGACACCACTCTGGCGTTTCCGACGCACGTGTTATTCCCACCGATCAATGGAAAGCGGAGGTCTATTTTCGTTGTTCTAACTTTAGAATTTGACATCGGATGTGTATTTCCCTAAGATCATGAAGATGGAAAACATAAAAGCTTGAAAGAGAAAATGAAATTAAACTTTAACAAATTTGTCAGTTGTTGTCAAGTTTATTAAGAAGGGTTTTTTGAAATGGCATTTCTTAGATAAATTATTATGAAATAAGTATCTCTATGTAAATGATCCAATTCCCGTATATTCCTCAATCTTTTCCCTCCCTCCTCAGCTCATATATGCCTCATAGTATCTCAGTGGCCAAGTCTAGTTGCTGCCATCATGGCACAACAATCAACCCTGGCATGTAAAAGTTTGGGCATGTAGATTTCACTTTCGGACAAGTAAAAGTAAGAGGGCACTTGCCAAACTGGACAAGTTGGTATAAAAGTTAATGTTGAACCCTGAAACACACTGAGAAAATTCAACTAGAAAATTGATTTTTAATTGAATAATAGTGTGTTTTACACTGGCATGAAATATTCTTTTTCAATACCCCAGATTATCATTATCTCCATAACCAGAAATGTTTTGTCATTTACAAGTTAAATGGTCAAACTGGTTTCCGGCATTTTTGAACTGACAAGGTAATTGTGGCTGCTTAAAATTATACAAGCATCTCTGTATTCTTATGTAAACATTATTCAACCAAACCTACAGAAATATGTCATTTTATCATTTATCACATTTATCTTAGTCTGGTATGGAAATTATTCCAATTATTCACCATTTTGCTTATCATATATATACTGACAAAAATTTTGTGTCTAACAAAAGCATCAATGATATCCAATGATGTCATCTAAAAAAAAACAAAAATAACTGAATAATAATAATTTGAATCCAGTGTATTGCAACCCATGGACAGACCTAGTTTCAATGTTAAGATATTCCAAACTTTGAATTATAATGTAAAATGATGATATGTTTGTCATATCCATACATGATATCGTCAGTTTCTAGACTCCTTGATAATATCCATATGTATGTGTTCCTGTACTGTGAAGTTTCTCTACTTACAAAATTAAAACATTAAAAAAATGCTTACAGCATGTTACCCATGAAATAAGTCAAAATAAAACTATGATGAAACCATGAACAAAGTCCAAATAAAAACTATGATTAAACAAAGGTCATGAACGTCTGGACTGATATCAATTCAACTGCAAACAAAGTAATTTGCAGTTAAAAGATTTGTTGAGACAGATCATAAAGTGAATGATGTGTCAACAGACATTGAAGCAGTCAGAAAGGATATTATACAGTAATGCAAAAGGATATTTGTATAAACAGGCTAATTGAATTCTTTTTGTCCAGCTAGAATGTTCACATACTGAAAATAATACAAAAAATCAAGTTATTTCCAAATTTCATTACATTTTTTTTAATGCTGCTGCTTTCATAATATAATATTCATTTAATTTTTTTTATATTCCATTATTATTTTACAAACAATACACAAGGTGCTAGAACTCTTTGTAGCCTAATTCCATTTATTACCCTTATGTCAACAAAATTAACTGAGTTTTGAACGAACCAAATTACTGGATATGACTACATTTATCTATTTGTATGTCAATTCTTCTTGTAGCACCACCATTTATACATACATTTTACTTTAGTAGATAAGAAGGAAACAAGTTGCATTTTTTTTATGCATTTTATGATTTAGTCCAAAAAAAAATAGCTTTACATGTTGATGTATCGTTCTAACAGTTAATACAGCAACAAGTATTTGAGTGCTCAAAGTAACTAATTCAGGCTTAAGATAAGGCCAAAATAAAAGAAAACATTGCCTCTTTAAGGTTTCCCTTTCTTCTGTATTTTACATCTATATACATGTATGACTGTTCTTAAGTTTGCCTTTGTATTTTCATTTTTGAACTTACTTTGGAAAACCAGAACGCTTGTCTATTTATTCAATAAAAACAGATTAATAATGTAAATAACATAATCTTCATTTTTTTCTGATTTAAACCTGAAACTAACCTCCTTTTTGATGAATCTTATAATTGATACTTTAGAAATATACTGGAAGTAATAAGGGAACTAAATGAACAAGCAGAATTTGATTCCAAAAGGAACCAAACTCAAAACCCTATTACCTTCCAACTACAAAATTTCTGAGAGAAAGAATGATCAAATTATATTATTGAAATACATTATACATACATGTAGGAATTAGTAATTTACAACTAAAATAAATGGGGAATGTGTCCGATGCCCCTGCTTGCATATAACGTTATAAAGGGACATAACTCAAGAACGGTAAAAGTGATGCTACTTTCTACTAACATCATAATTGATCTGAGTTTTGTGGTAATAAGTATTGTGTATATGTTTCATAACACTTGGTTGAGGCAAACTTAAGTTCGAGAACGGAAACATAAAATTCAGCAATGTTTCCATTTGTAAAGGGGCATAACTCTAGAAAGGTAAAAGTGACCCCACACAAATTCAAACTTGATCTGTGTTTTGTGTAATAAGAATTGTGTATAAGTTTCATAACATTTGGTTGAGGCAAACTAAAGTTAGAGAATGGAAACCAATTTAGGGACGTAAGGATGTATGAATGGACAAAGGTAAAACTTAATGCTACCGAGGGGGGGGGGGGGGGGGGGGATAACCATTGGATATTACAAACAAATTCTGGGCTGTTAAAAGTTTTGAATCACTTGGACACATCAAAATAATGGCTTTCAACAAACCCTTTTTTGTATCCTCTTCTTAACTTTCATTCGTAAATCCAGAACATCTACTGTGGACAAATATTTCCTTATGGCATCCATTTCATCCTGTAAAAATGGAGACATTTCCACAATCATTTTCAATAACAAAAAATAGATATCATTAGTATTCAAATGAAGAAATTTCAATGAATCAATTCAATATATATACAATGCCTATGATTAGATCCATAGGTATTTGTACTAAAAATATCATTAAAAAGTTAATGCTATATTGCCTACATTTTATTTTCCAAGCATTTGTATTAATTTTCAACAGGTACTTTGTTTTAAACAGAGGCTGTTTTTAAAATTAACTTATTCTACATTTCTACATGTTTCAGTAAGCAGATACCTGAATTCCATCTTTTTCAAGTTTCAATTATTTGCACCAAGCATTTAAAAACCAACAATCATTCAATTCCCTATACACATGTATGTTTAACATAGACATCCAATAAAAAATGACTTTCCATTACATCTAACAACATGGACAAGCTGAACTCTGGTATAGTTTAAATATTTCTCATCCATTTATAGTTCTTTCATACCTTCAATTTATTAGTTGTTCTCATTTCTTCCTCAATCTGGTGTTCATCACATGATTTTAAAATATTGATCTGTTTTTGAAGGGATGCCATCAGAAACATCATTCTTTTTGTTTTTTCTTGGACATCATAAACCTGAAACATATTATGAAAATTGAAGAAGAGTTGTCATGTTTGTAGGCAATCTTGCATTAACCCCTACATAAATTCACCTGAAATGTACTTTTTGCATAAAGTATGTAAAGCTTTTCCAACTTTCCTTCCAACATGCACATTTAAAGATTTAAATACAATGTATGTATAGACAAAATTTTTGAGACTTGGTAACAACTACTGCTTCTCCTAGAGCAATAGTTGGTATCTCAAAGACAACAGACTTGCTATAACCCTGGTCCCATATATAACAATAAGTGTATACATGTATACACTATACATCTAAACACCTATAGATGGGTCAATCATGGCCAGTTTTATTTAGATTAATTTAGTAGTTTGTCGGAATAGATCTTTACCTTTGACAGATTTAGTTCAATATATTCACTATTCCAACAAAAAGGGGACTTAATGTGTGTTTAGGGTTAAAACTTTACCTTCAACTTTAAAACAAACATGAATAGTACATTGTATCTTGACCCATAGTCTTGTATCTTTAACATAATTTGGGTTGCTGTCTAATTGATGTGTTCCCTACAAGTACAATGTACATCTCTTTGAAATGTGTTTACATTTAATACAATACAACTAAATTGATTTAATCATTTTTTTACTATCATTGGAAAGTTGCAATATCTATTTTGGAATTGTACTTCATCTGGGTTTTTATTACATTATCTATGACACTGCTCATCTATAGATTGAGTATTGTAAACCAATGCTTACATTAACTGGTGCTTTGACACTTTCTTTTTTCTCCACCTTCCAATCATTAAGATAAGATTTTATTCCTTTTCCATCCAGCCATGATTTTATCCACTCTGTATCCTTTTCTTTCCCTGGCAATACAGTTGCATGTTCTGCCTGAATTAATTCTTTTTTAACTTGGAATGGCTGCCGATGGTTCTGCTGCATTTGATGATTCATAACTGGCATGACTGGAGGAAGATTAGAATTTGAAGGAAACTGATTCGAACCTGAGTAGCGTTCTGGTTGAAAATTAGGTGGTGGAAATGGATTAGGAAATCTGTTCATTGGTGATGGCATTCCAAGCTGCTGATTATTTCTGAATTGCATATCATTTTGCAAAAATGAATTGGGAGGAGGTGGACAATTTGGGATCAGCATATGTACAGGCTGAACTGATTCAGGAACACTTATTCCATGATGCTCCAACGGTTTTGAAAATTGGTGAATTTGAGGATTTGTATGATCTTGTTGTCTATTGTCAAATGGTTTTTCAGTTTGTGTGAAACTCATAGAACCCAGCAGTTCAGAACTTTGTTGGGTTGATATTATACTTGACCTGTGCACGAGCGTGCTGCTTTCCTCCTGATCTGGAATAACATCAAGACCTGGAATTTGCATATTCTGTGAATTGAAAGTTGATTTTGACAGTATTCCTTCTTGTGCAACTTTTGCAAAAAAGCTACCACTACCTTTACTGTCAAGAATTTCATACTTCTGATCATTCATTGACATGTTGAATGGTTTTTGATCATTCATTGACATGTTGAAAGGTGGAGCCTGGTGATAGCCATCCATTGATGTTTGAGGCATTATTCTCAAATCAGAACTGTATGTGGCCATGCAAGTCCTATTGAGATTTGGATCTCTCATAGTAGTGTTTTGCTCCCAGTTTGAAGATTGAGATTGACATTGTTGACTACCATGTGTTTGCTCTTGGGTGTATATTGGAAATGAAGACGGCACTTGAGGTCTACTACTTTGAACATTGCGATTCTCAACTCTTTTCTCAAATGAGTTCTGTTTTTGACCGTGTTCACTATCTTGAAAATTTGACCTGATTGTGTTTTGGAACCTTCTTGGTTGGTTATTTCTTGGGTTGTACGTATACTGTCCCGGTGTTCGCGGACGAAAATGATGTCTCTGATTTTGACCCCGAGAGACAAATCGAGGATTTGCAGGTCGAAAGTTATTTTTGCTGTTATTTCGACTGTACATCTTTATTTTCCTATTTTTTTTCAAATTTACATTTTTTAGATTTTCATGCGCGCTGACATCTTTAATCTCAAATGTACGTGACTTCAATTTAATTGTTTATTGCAGCGATAAAATATATTTCATTGTCCAAAATAGATTCAAAATAGACAAATAGATTTTATTTGGCGTTCAAAATATAAAATAAAAAGAAAAAGAACAGCAATATCTTTTTTTTGTGAGACATCACGTGATCATAACAAAAAATCCAAAATGTCGTCTGACAGCAGAGGTTGTCGCCTACTTTCAGATTTAAACAGCGTATTTCGCAAAGACCCTGAGATGTAATTAAAAACTATAATTTTAGTCTCCATTTAAAACAGTTTGGCATTTCAATAGGATAAGTAATTTCATTTTGAAAGCTTGCCTTTGAACCGAACTGTTCATAAAACAGATGTAAACAAAGAGTTGTTTGGTCAAATTATTAGGATATTCGTCTGTTTGCTTTCGAGACGTTTTGGATACACATCCAGTTCGGCCACAGTCGTTTCGGCCGTAATCGATTCGGCCACACTATTTCATATTGTTATTTAAATATATATACAATTATATTGTACCAGTTCTGCTAGTCCAAATAATTATGACGTCTTGAAAGGCTATTATATTTTTTTTCTTTGACGCCTGGTCGATGTAAGGCGTCAAAGAAAAAAAATATAATAGCCTTTCAAGACGTCATAATTATTTGGACTACAGTTCTGCCAACTTTTAATAATGCAAATGCGTGAGATTTGGCCAAAATCGTAAAGATCAAAGAGAAAAAAACAATAGATCAAAGGAAAATGCCGCCAAATAAGCATGAAAATGCGTGAGTCTCATGCTAAATGCGTGAGACTTGGCAGCCCTGTTGTACTGTTGTATTGTCTGTATCTGTAACTCGATTTTGCTTGTAATGAGCTCTATGATTAGGAAAATAAAAATATTAGTATTAGTGGTATATACATGTATGTATGTAAGACTCAGATTGATGTTGGTCCCTCAAATGAATGTCCAAATTTGACGTCACAATAAAATAAGATTTATCGAGGGCTAATTTTATGCCCCTCTAATTCTGTAATCCCTCTAATTGACGTCTTTTTTGTTGTTCTCAAATGGATGTTTAATTTTTGGCTTCCCTAATCAATGTCCATTATATGAACTTGCCGCAATGACGTCATAACTTTATTAAATGGCTTTAAAAGGCCCGACATGAAAAATGTAAAACAATTCAAACTAGAAAACTAATGGCCTTATTTATAACAAAACAATTCCGAAAAACAAATATGACAAACACAAACCAACAACAACCACTGAACTAAAGGTGCCTGCATTAGACAGGCACATAAAGAATGTGGCGGGGTAAAACATGTTTGTGAGCGCTTAATCCTCCCCATACCTGGAACAGTGGTGTAACAGCACAACCTAAAAACGTAATGCCCATTTCTATTGTAAATGTTTCACTCCAAGTGTAAAACTCAGAAATTTGTAGAAAAATATCTTAAAGAGTCTGAATTATTATATTCTCAAAACAATTGGCTGTACTTCTTTATTTTGTCTATTGTTGAAGACTTATTGTTGCCCTCTAGATGTCATTGGGTTGTTTTCTTGTTTATATGTGCAGTAGGCTTATTTATTATTTATTGATCGATTAGAGAAGACTACAATCGACTGGAGTATCATTGGACGTCGTTTTGCCAATATATTACTGCACATTGAACGTCGATTAGAGGGTAATATTTTGGACACTGATTTGAGAATGTGAAGTCATATTTGGATGTCGATCTGTGGAATGGACGTTAATTAGAGACCGGACGTCAATCTGAGTCATTTTGTCATGGTGACATACGTTCATCTGCTGTGAAACAAGAGGATGTCACACCTGATGAAGACATTGACATCGCTTCCTTCTGACTTTGGGACTTGATTAATTTTTTTTTTAACAGAGAATAGAAAAAAAAATGTCCATATTAACAAGGCACTGGCTATGATTACACGCAAAAGTAACAATAAGAAAAATTATAGTTACTTCAGAGACTAATTGCCAAATTGTATTTCCGAACAGGAGAGGGGGGCAGGGCAAAGCCCCTCACACTGAATTTCATAATATATTACCTTTCCATAAAGTTATAGACCTTATCGCTATTTGTCTGCCATTACTGGACATCACAAAGGTTCCTGTCGTCACAATAGAAAATGTTGGATGCCACAAAGGAAAAGTGATTGTTGTTTGACGTCAATAGTTCAAGTGTTGCAGATATCCAAATAGCGATAAGGTCTATTGAAAATTACCACTCAGTATTAATGTTTTTTTTTTCTGGATAAGCCTTCATTAGAAGAACAAATTTAGAAGCCATGCATGTATATGATAAAGATGTAATATTCCAAACATTTACATTTTGAATTATTTTACAGTGATGAATATGACTTTTTACCAGTACTGGAACCCAAACACAACCGAAGTCCACTCATTCTACAAGACCATAAACTTGGACTTGAGATGTGGAGTGTCAAAATTCTTCATCATTATGCCTACAATACACTGATGACATGGAGAATGAAAGAAGTTAATGCCAAATTCTTAGGTAAAACTTCACTCAATTTCATCTCAATGGTTACATTAATCAGAATAAAAGTCAATGCCAAATGCATGGTCTTGATATCACTTTCTTTGTTTTAATTAGGGATGTCAACTCGGTGAACAATTACTAATCGAGTAATCGTTGGTTTTATCGAGCGATACTCGAGTTCTCGCTCGGGAATATATCTACAACACGGAAACACAAAGATACGTACTTTACATTATGTGGTTTGTTGTTCAACTGGCGAAAAACCATCTACATAAATATCTGAGACAAGGAATTACACACCATAATTAATAGCTCATTACCTACAAGTACTAATTAAGCAAAAAAACAATAACTATTCTTATAATTTAATGAACACCTACTTAAAAAGCATAACAAGGAAAAACCATATGAAACGAAAGTATTTGGTAATCGTTAAGAAAACACATTTAATGTTTACAAAGGTGTAAGGATTAGAAGTTTAACTATTCACTGAGGGTCACCAGAGGATGCAACGAATTTATTTCATTTGGGAACATTTTCTTGTAAATTATTGTTGGGGACAGTCAGTTTTGCAACTTTGTAAATTACAGTCTTGCAGACGAAAATATTTGCTCTGACGGTACCGATGTGATAGAATGGGTAAGACATGTTAAGTTTAAAGTATTAGCCTAGGTATAGCCCACATATTTTCCGAGGCATTTTTTTAATAACAATTTAGTACAAGCATTCGAAACAAAATGTTTTTTATTTACTAGTATGATTAATCAGTGATGTATATTTAATTATCCGAAAGAGGTTCTAAAGAAGATCCATTTTATATAAAGAAGACAGCAATATTCTAACAGGAAACCGATTAGTCGAGTATCGTTTTGGTATTCGATACTCTGTACTACCGAGCGATACTGGAATACTCGAGTACTCGTTGACATCAATAGTTTTAATGCATCATTAAATATTTTGACACTTAAATGCCTATATGATATATATAACTTGTTTATGTTTTATAGGTCCATTAGATTTGATATGTTTAACTAGAGCCATAGTGTTAGTCAATCCAGATTGTTCTACTGCATGGAACATCAGGTATGGTTTGAATTATCATTAAATCACTTAAGCAATTAAATAATGAATATTATTGCTGAGCCTTCGACTTTTGTCGAAAAAGCGAGACATAGCAATCCTACATTCCGTCGGCGGCGGCGTCCACAAATATTCACTTTGTGGTTAAAGTTTTTGAAATTTTAATAACTTTCTCAAACTATCCTTGATTTCTACCAAACTTGGACAGAAGCTTGTTTATGATCATTAGATAATATTCACAAGTAAATTTTGTAAAAAAAAATTCTATTTTTTCTGTATTTTACTTATAAATGGACTTAGTTTTTCTGCCAGGAAACATTACATTCACTCTGTGGTTAAAGTTTTTGAAATTTTAATAACTTTCTCAAACTATCCTCGATTTGTACCAAACTTGAACAGAAGCTTGTTTATGATCATAAGATAATATTCAAAAGTAAATTTTGTAAAAAAAAAATTCCATTTTTTCCGTATTTTACTTATAAATGGACTTAGTTTTTCTGCCAGGAAACATTACATTCTCTCTGTGGTTAAAGTTTTTAAAATTTTAACAACTTTCTTAAACTATCTTGGATTTGTACCAAACTTGGACAGAAGCTTGTTTATGTTTAAAAGCTAGTATCTAGAAGGAAATTTTGTTAAAATTTTGTTCCATTTTTTCTGTATTTTACTTATAAATGGACTTAGTTTTTCTTCCAGTTAACATTACATACAGTCTGCAGTTTAAGTTTTTAAAACATTTATTAGATTCATAAACTATCCTGGATTTTTACCAAACTTGGACAGAAGCTACTTACAATCAAAAGATAGTATAGAGAGGAATATTTTTATTAATTTTTTTCCTTATTTTTGTTGAGCCTGCGATTAACAGCAAAAGTAGGCGAGACACTGGGTTCCGCGGAACTCTTACGAATTTTTTTATATATTTCTTCATATTTCCAACTCCTTCATATTAATAATTGGGCAGAGACCACCATTATTGCCCTTTGAATTTGTTGTCTACAATAAAGTCCCTAGAATGGAGTGTATTTCTTCCAAATTTTTATCATACAAATTATATAGTCCTGTTATATGCTTAAAATGCAAAAGGGAGATATGATTTTACTGTAAACGAAATTGAGCCATGAATTTTAGTAAAGTGCAAAACTGACCACTCTGAAGGTTAGTGGTTTATCCCAGACACAACTCATTTTTCCTCAATCAATAAAGTGACCAAAATGAAATAGTATCAATTGCATAGATAGTGATGTTTAATTGCATACAATGACAATTTATTTGTAAAACCTTCTCTCCTTGCATTCACTTCATATTGGTTTCTATTCATATCTTCACCTTGAACTTCAAGAATGTTACTATCTTTACGGTCATGGTATAATATGTCATCACTTTATATAGCAAAGACCTTTTCATGACGACATGCAATATAAAAAATAAGGAGATGTTGTATGATTGCCAATGAGACAACTATCCACCAAAGTTCAAATGAAGTGGATGTAAGCAATTATAGGAAACCGTATGGTCTTTATCAATGAGAAAAATTAATATGGTATAGTCTGCTTTAAAAGGCCCTGGCATGAAAAATATGAAACAAATTTAGTTGAGAAAACTGACAGTCTAATTTATAATAAAACAATTTATGCAAAAAAAAAAACAGATAGATATGAACCATCGACAACCACTGAACTACAGGCTCGTGGCTTGGTACAGGCACATAAAAGAATGTGGCAGGGTTAATGTTTGAAGTTGCCAACCCTCCAGCTAACATGGGACAGTGGTGAAACAGTACAACATAAGAACAAACTATAAAAATCAAGTTACGTATGAGGTCATGTGGATAGCACATTACAATATTTTCCTGTAATAATAGATAATTCTGTTATCAATTTGCCACCCATAACATTTTCAGGTTATACATGCAAATTAACATAAAAGGGCCCATTGTTATCTTTCAGGTGAGAAAATTGATACCAATATTATGTAATAAAAGCATTACTTTTGAATTACAGAAAAGAACTAATAGAGAGTGGTGACCTATCAGTGGCAGATGATTTGAAACTTGGAGCATTGGTATTGGGAAAGCACCCAAAAAGTCCAGAAACTTTCAGTCACAGGTAAAAAAAAAAAAAAGGACCCTAACTTACATTAGTTTGTCACAGATAACAATGAAATCCAAAAACATCGGAAAACCTTAGTCACAGATAACAAAAACATCAGAAACCTTCAGTCACAGATAACAAAAACATCAGAAACCTTCAGTCACAGATAACAAAAACACCAGAAACCTTCAGTTACATATAACAAAAACATCAGAAACCCTCAGTCACAGATAACAATAACATCAGAAACGTATTAGACAAACCTTCAGTCACAGATGACAAAAACATATAAGAAACCTTCAGTCATAGGTGATAATAATAACCAAAAACATCAAATTTAAAAAAAACTCAAGGAATCACCAATTGATAGATATTTTAAGCTATACCTGCAAATATAAACATGTAGGTGAAATTATCAACAAAATTTTGTAAAAAAAACCATCCAGATTTTGGTAAATATGAAATGAAATGTAACCAGGTCAGCCTATTTACTGTAACTGAATCCAACGTAAAAAGTAATTGATGGCCATTGGTAGACTTCATTAATATTCTAACTTTTCTTGGTAATCTTCATGCTAATATTTTTAACAAACATGACAACTTTTTCATTCTGTGATAGTGATATTCCATTGGTTTCTCATATAGTGTACATTTCTCAGTTTATTCAAAATTGTTCAGCGACCTTTCAAATTTAAATGAACTTAATATTTTCATTACTAAATAACATTTAAACAGGAATTTAAATATCAAAACTTTTGCAAAATTTTATCATAGCTATAGGGATATATTGTTGAAGTATGATTCTACCTACAGAGGAATTTGCTAATTCAACCTACAGGTAATTCATTTAAAGAAAAGAAGTGTTACAATTTATTTTACACTCTTTTAATTGTAACAAAGCATAGATTAATACTAGTTGTAAAAAATTGCAGATTTAACTGGTGATTTAACTTGTTGATGAAGTACACTGGTGCACTTTATTTCCTAAAACTGAATTCCTTCGGGCATTTAAGAATTTCAAATATATATTATACCGAATTATATTTCAGAGTTGAAATTCATTTCATTAGATAAATTTTCCATTGATCAGAAATAATTCAAAACTTTCAATCAGTAAAAAGTAAAAATAAAAATCTGTTTGAAGTTTCTTTCCAAATAACTGAATTTTCATGAGTTATCTCCCCTCTCACAATGCAGCTTTCAAATAGATTGTCGTAAGAAATTTGAAAAAATAAGGCAAACATGTCAAATAAATAGATGAAAAGATCAATAAAAAAAAAAAAATCACAAACATTGTATGTCTTTCACTATCATGTGCCAGGGAAATTAAATCATGTGGAATATTGCTTGAAAATATTAAAAGATATTTTGAAAAGAACAAAATAGTGTATTATAAGAGGAAATAGCATTTGGACAATAAAAAAAATCCCTGACCTGGTAAAGCAAAATGTTAATGAAATTGTAAAACATACTTTAATGTGTAAATATTAAGCATATAATAAAATTTTCAGTATATGAATTTGTAGATGAACTTGTGATTTCTGTTTACAGGAAATGGTTATTTACGACCTTAGTAGATTCATGCCTAGCTAACAGCAGTGGGAGTACAGTTAGTAATAGTAGTGTCAATATGTACAATAATTTTGTTAATATGGACGCTATCGATGTCAATTTAGATCCCAATGTACAGAATGGATATAACGTTGATCCTTCATCAAAGCAGCCAGACTTCCAAGAACATGCATTTAAAGAACTCAGAAACTGTCAAAAAGCTAGTGACAAATACCCTTCAAATTATAATGCTTGGAGCCATAGGATTTGGGTTGTTAAACATTGCTTAAATTGTTCACTACAGGTAAAATACCATTTTCTAATGTGTATATTTTAATAAGAGATTCTAACATGATACATATCACTTATGTTAACACAAGTGTTCTGTAAATAGCATTAATATTTTAGACACATACCTGCAACCTACAGTACTTGGCCATAAGTATTTGTCATTTGTGATTTTCCACTATATATTTAATATAAAACTATTTTTTTTTCATAGATAAATTTTAATGAACTTGGCATCAAAAGAAGCGAAATTGTCACATGCTTATTTCTTGATTTGGCTATATTTTTGTTTTGAAGAGTTTACACTTTCTGATGATATATAGACATAGATTATTTTTTGTTTATAAATGCTATGTATTTCAACCAAATCAAATTGTAAAAATATTATACGTGTTCATATCAAGAGAAAACAAAAACAATTGACAACAATATTATAACTGAATAAACAAAATTACCTTAGCCATTACTGTATCTTTTAACACCTGGTTTGTAAAAATCCAACAATAAATACCTTCGAAATATTTTTTTGAAAAAATGTCTTTTTGTATGAAATATATAGCAAAAAAGAAAGGTAACGAATACTTTTGGCCATGCACTGCAGTGTTCCCGCCTGCCCTAAATAGAAGGGCGGCCCGCCCTTGGTGCCCTTACCCCTGCCCTTCTGCCCTCCAAAGTAAAAGAATGCACCCCTCTGCCTTTTCAAAAAAATAAAATTTCCAAATTTCATACCTACCGGCGTTTCCGGTAAAATTGTTACCTGATTGTGTAACACTAATTAACTGACAATGGGATTAAGTTAAATACCTAATGCTTTGGCAGTTTTATCACCTTTGTTAATGATTGTTTACTGCTAATTAGTGAATTTAAGATAATTGAACAAATACTAGATATTTAATGCAGAATGAAATGTCCACATGTTATCCATTTGTAATGTTTATGTACTGCATGTACATCTGAAAAATATTATTTCAGTAGGCATAACATAAAAAATAAAATCTTAAACAATTTTAAAGGCATACATAGTTTTGATTTAATTGGTAAAAATTGTTTTGTTTCATAACCAATCAGTATGAAATTTAAAGATGAATCAAAGAAATTTGTACTTTGAACATAACAAGATTCACTTCCTGTTTTACTTCTTGTATTTTATAATCCTCCTAACATAGGAGCACTCAACAAATTTATTTTTAACAATGATGGAGAAAAAAGTAACTGTTTATACCTTCTGCAATATATTATTGCATCAATATAAAATGATCATCTCCTGTCTCACCTGATATATTTATAAAACTCCTTACTGAGGAGCACTTTGGTGTGCACTTAAAAATACTTTTTTGTAACAATTCAAATGATGATAAGGGAGCTACCATTTGATTTTTATGGGGGGGCTAGGATGAAAAATTTTGTCCTGCTTCTTTTTTTAGTTGTAATCTCTGTCCTGCCTTTTTATTTTTTACTCTATTCGGTCCTGCCTTTTTTTTACTAGTTTATCCTGAATTTTTTTACACAAATTGTCATCCTGCCTTTTTTTTTACCAAGTTGCTCATCCTGCCTTTTTTTTAACTCAAAACTCCTGTCCTGCCTATTTTTGTCAAATTTCATCCTAGCCCCCCCCCCCCCCCCCCCCCCTCCATAAAAATCAAATGGTAGCTCCCTAAATAACTCTCAATAACATATATACTATATGTTTGAACAAGTAATCTAAATGTAGATAATTTAATTACATCAAACATTCAATTTTGCATGTATAACTCCATCTTTATAAACTACTTGTTTATTTTTATAGACTGGTATAAGTTATAAAACATTGAAATTTCTGATGATTATTTTCCTTACCAAATGTACAAGTTTGTTTAGATTAACATCACAATGATATGCTTTGCTTCATGGTATGATAATTTGATAAAAAAAAATTCTTACTGGAAACAACATCAAGAACACATTAGTTTCTGAATATGGTTTAAATACAACTAATGTTCTCCAGCTGAGCCTAGCAATATTCAAGGTTACTTTATACACTGTCCAACAGTGCCCTTAAAATCTGGGTTATAACGCTAAAGTGCCCTTTCAGACAACTAGCACCCTTCTGCCCTGAGATTCAAGCTGGAACACTGCACTGTATATGTCAATGGAAAACCATTTATTGCATGAAATACATAAACATATGAATCAAAGAAAATCAATTTATTGATGAGATACATAAACATATGAATCAAAGAAAATCAATTTAATGCATGAGATACATAAACATATGAATCAAAGAAAATCAATTTATTACACGAGATAAACATATGAATCAAAGAAAATCAATTTACAGCATGAAATACATAAACATATGAATTAAAGAAAATCAATTTACAGCATGAAATACATAAACATATGAATCAAAGAAAATCAATTTACTGCTTGACATACGTAAACATATGAATAAAAAAAAAAATTACTGCATGAAATACATTAACTTGTGTATCAAAGGAAAACAATTTATTGCATGAAAAAGATGAATCAGTGTATCAAAGGTAAACAATGTATTACATGAATTACACAAACCTGTGTCAAAAGAAAACAATTTACTACACAAAATGCATGAGCCTATGTGTCAAAGGAAAACAATGTATTGGATGAAATTCATGAACCTATATAAATGAAATTGTAAAAAATTGCATGAAATACATGAACTGATGTGTCAAAGGAAAACAATGTATTGCATGAAATATGTGAACCTATTTATAATTTTATTTCATTATAGCATGAAATACACGAACCTATGTATCAAAAGAAAGCAATTTATTGTATGAAATACATGAACCTGTGTAACAAAGAAATTTAATTTATTACATGAAATACACAAACCTAAGTTATTCTTCATCTTACCAAAATTCCAACACTACTTACACTTGAAACATTTTCGTATAAACAACATGAAAATGATTGTTAGTTATCAAATATTTTTACAGGTTTTATTTGGTGAACTACATACAACAGAAAACTGGGTATCTAAACACATCTCTGACCATAGTGGCTTTCATTATAGACAATTTTTATTGACAAGTTTACAGAAACAGTCTATAGATCTGAAGGAACAATTTTCTGTCTGTTATAGAAATTTAATACAGAAAGAACTTGCTACAACTATAGATCTGATCAAATGTTACGAGGGGCATGAGGCTCTCTGGTATCATAGGTAGGTTTGTTACAAGGAAAGTTTGGCTCTCTGGTATGAAAATTGCTCATCATTCCACATGTTCTAAAGAACTACAATAATGACAGTAGTGCTATATCAAGGTTTTTCAATTTTTATTTCTTAGACACCTACCTACTGTTTTCCGATACTTTTAGTCACATTTCGGGTGTACTTAGCACGACAATGTGTGCAACTTCTTGTGAGCTAGAAATTTATAAATAGAAATCTTACACCAGCTAACTTTAAGATGCAACAACATCTGAATAATTCATCAAAAGAAAACAAACAGTTTTATGCAGTGGATACAGAAATATTTTTGAATATCTGAAAGTGGGAGTGTGGTCTAAGTACTGTAAATTCAAAAATAATGGTGTGCATTTATTATTGCGATTTTGTCATTTTAGACCAAAATGCGATTATTATTTTTGCGATACTCAGAAAAATTCCGCTTCATTCATATAAAAAAATAAAAAATGCGAGTTTAAATTATTGGGATTACAACCCTGTCGCATTTTTCGCAATAATTTCCGAATTTAGAATTTACAGTAGTTCATCTACTGTATCACTAGCCTGTCAACTTTTAGGTTGTGACTTCTATTGTAATTGATTAGAATTAACAGTTTTCCTGCTGCAGGTCATTGGTTCTCTGGCACTCTGGCTCTATTCACCAATGACAACTGATCACCATGATATAGACAATAGTTCTAAAAGTGGGGTTAAACAACAATCAATCAGTCAATGAATGTTACAATGAACCATTCATTTTTGTTAGCACTATCCTTTGGTGTTTAAAATTTTCTTGTCTCAATACTAGATTTTGATCATTTCTTTCAGGAGATATATATTCCAGAATCTGTGTCAGAGTTACTCAGCAGGTACCTTAGTGGAATTGTTTCATCCACAACATGAATATGAAGATGATATTGTATTGAACATTAGCCAAAAGAAAACAAAACTGGAAAATGAAAGACAAGTACTTCTTCTCAAAGAAATAGACACTGTTACAAAAAGTGATTTAATCAGTAAAGATAAATTTCATAAAAGTTTGGCACAGAAATACATTGACTGGATACAAAAATTTTCAAGGTCATTGGAGAGCTAATAGTCAAGATCGTTGGAAAGCTTGTTACAGAACTGAATACAATCTGGATACAAAGATTACTGTGGATTCATTTATTTTTGTGTGTACCAATTTTTGTGGATTAAGGAAAATTTGTATTTTTGTGGAAATTTTATTTTGTGGTTTTGCAAAAGTCTGTATTCAAGCATGATAGACAAATTGTACTTCCTTGAACATTAAATTCCTGGTTCACCTTTAACTACAAAATCCACAAAAACTAGTATCCAATGAATAATAATGAATCCACAGTAGTTATGTCTCTAGTGTAGAAAAAAGTATCATTACAATACACCTAATACACCAGACTTGCAGTCATACTAACATACTGACATAGATAAAACAGAGGAATTACAAACTGATAGTTGCACAAAAATAGGGTCATATTACATAATGGTAAAGTATTTGAAAAATGTTAACTTTATGTTTTTTAATGTTTATGCATTGTTTTTTATTTATTCAGGGGTGTTTCTAGGATATTTGAAAGAAGGGGTGTAGAATCAAATCTTTTGCCTTTTTTGGACCTTTTTTTTGCTAAAAAACATAGAAAAATTGTGAAATGCACTAATATAACGGTTCCTGACTTGGAGCATGTATATTTTATAGTTTTTTGTTTTTTGTTTTTTTTTAAAAGGGGGGGATTACGCCCTCACCTGGACCTGCCCCTGTTATTTAAGCACTTTTTTTGGGGGGGGGGGGGGTTTATTTTTTATGCAACTTTTTCAATTATACAGCTTCAGTATATTGGTGAACTAACTCACTATATTGATGTCATATAAATATGTTTTTTTTGCCACATTATTGGAAAAAGTACATGTCTATCTCTACTGATCACTTCATCACAACAGTAACAACATACTTTATAACCAAGGACCAGCCCATAAGGGGCATAAAGACCATACATATAAAGGAAAAATAATATTGATAAGTATAAATTTATAGATTTTCTATGGTTCTGAAAACAAAAGGGCATTTCTTGGTTACGATCTCCTTAAAGGACAATAGTCCTTAGATGAGATATAGCCATGAAACTTTTTTTGAGTTGAAAGACGAACGATGATGTTTATTGCTTTTCCCTAGGCAACGTCAATAATGTTGGCTTATAGCATCACTGTGTTCTCACTCTACTCAGCTGATAAAAACCCATTCTCAGTCAAGTAGCATGAGATGGAAAATGATCCCAAAGAAATATCAAAGAAAACTAAGAAAATAGAAATAAAGATACATTACCTCTGATTTTAATGTCTTGGTATTGCTTGGATTAGTTAGGCAAAATAATGATAAACTTTAATGTTGTAGAGTTTGTCAAAAACTGACTGTAGGTGTTAAACAGTCATGTTGACTGTCTTTAGATTGTATGTATGCATAGAAAGTGGCCACTTTACCCTGTTATTTAATAAAAAATCATACAGTGCCAATGTTCCACTGAAATATAGATATATTTACACTTGTATACAAATTTGTCTGCCATAACTTAGTCACACAAGTTCCCGTAACATTTTGTATCACAAAAAAATATACACCAGAGTTATATAGATCCACTTATATTTAAACAAGTCTAAATTGAAAACAACATTCAAACCTATGATTGCGTTGGATAAAAACCGCAATTTTTATACGTGTGCATGCAAAACAAATTTCTTGTTAGAGGGGTCTAAATACAGCACAAACAACATTTTTCAAAAGACCAAAAAAGTGAAAAAGTATATTTTAACAAAACGCATTTGACTAACAGGTCGAACAACAAATGTTCTTAATAGACCCTGCTGACTGCCATTGGCGATTGCAAAATAAACGGATCACCGATGTAATAAATGGATCTTAATTTTAAATTTAATACTAAACAGAAAACAATAAACTTGCGGAAAAGATGATATACCGCAAACAAAAGGTGCAAAGGTTTTTGTACACCATATCAGGATTTCGACAAATAATGTCTCTTCAGTCCACTTATATATATATACACTGTCTTTATTCTTCACATCTCAGTTGGTAGGCAGGTACTTATATTTACTCTTCTTAAACAATAAACTTGAACAATAAATGTATTGTTTAACATTATAGATGTCTGTTTATTAGCTGCTAAATTAGTATGTAGACGCATGAAAGTTATTGACACATGGTTGTTGTTGGAAGCTGTTGTTACTTATTGTAACATTATTGTGTATTTCTCTACATGTATTTATTTTGATTATCAGTCAATGACAGAAGTTGGAAGAATAAATACTCATTTAATCATGACATGTTTGCCAACATATATTCAGGGATTGCATTGAGTTAGTCATTTGATGTTTTGATATGTATATTTATGTATTTCAGTTTATGGAGAAAAATATGAAGGAATGATAAAGTAAATTGATGAATCTAATTTTGATTTTGAGATTTTGATCATATTCATAGTTTCTTTGATATAATTTTACCTCTTAAAAATAGTATTTATTATACATGTACTTTCTTTATGGTTGTGATTTTTTAAATTAAACAACTTGTGTTTTGGGGTTTCTTACTTTTGCTTACAGAAGGTGAAAGCAAATACAAAAAATATCTATTTAAACAAAAATAAATTGACTTATTGTCATGTAATTATTTGTATGAAAATACATCTCTTTATCCAAATTACATTTACAGTTTTGTCTAAACTCACTGTATTGCAGAACACACTTATATGCATGGACAAATTTCATTTAAAAAAAGATGATTTTTTCCCCTTTTGAAAAATTTTGACATATATTTTCAAGTGGTACACGAAACCTAGTTCATGATGCATTTATAGCAAGTAATATATATACATCTGACTAATGACAAGAATCTCAGTGTACTAAGTGATAGCATTTCAATTTAACTGTTATATAATAAGATGTATGTAGAATATTATGCATTTTTTCAACTTTCAGTAGAAAGTTTTATTTCCTGTTTAACTTTCTTTTTTTTTTAATTGTTTGTTGGCCTTTAGGTAAATCTCTTGACTGTGCTAACATCTTCCGATTATCTGATTCCATGCTATTAATGATATTAGTTTTCAATACAGAATATATAAACACTAATACAAAACACAACAATAAGACAGACACCATCAGTCCAACAGCATTATACATAAATAATGTCTGTTCCTTAAATGAATCTCATTATTTTCCCCCGTGTAACACGTTGCGGGGGACATAGAAATGCTGGGTGTCCGTCCGTCCTGTCTTGTTAGCGCTCTCAAGTGTACAATTCTTGCCAGATTTTTATAAAACTTATATCATAGGTTTATATCAGCAATGTCTTGGACGAGTTCGAAAATCAGTGCCGATCAATTATTTTTAAAAGAGTTATGCCCCTTGGAAACATAAATTACATGGAAAATTGCAATGTTAGCGCTCTCATGTGTACAATTCTTGCCAGATTTTTATTAAACTTATATCATTGGTTTATATCAGCAATGTCTTGGACAAGTTCGAAAAATCAGTGTCGATCAATTATTTTTAAAAGAGTTATGCCCCTTGGAAACATTAATTATATGGAAAATTGCATTGTTAGTGTGCTCATGTGTGCAATTCTTGCCAGAATTTTATGAAACTTACATTGTAGATTTATATCAGCAATATCTCGGAAGGGTTTGAAATAAGTGTTGTTCAACTATTTTTAAATGAGTTATGCCCCTTAGAAATATAAATTATATGGAAATTTGGATTGTAAATACTCTTGCATGTACAAGTTTTGCCACATTTTTATCAAATTTATATCAAAGGTATATAACAGCAATGTCTCAGACAATTTCGAAAATAAGTGCAGATCAAATATTTTTAATGAGTTTCCCTTGGAAATATTAAATATATTGGAAATTGCTCTCAAGTCTTCAACTCTCTAGTAAGATAATTTAAAAAAGTTTTAATTTAGTTATTGTCCTTGGACAGAACAGATAAAATATGTGCAATGCGGGGGACATTGGAACTCGGTTCTTTTATTTGTAACAAGTTTATTATTGTGTTATTTCAGTAAGTATATGATCCCACCTAATATATTTATACTAATTTAGCTCTCATAAATCTTCAATAGCACTGTTCAAAGGAAGAGGCATGTTAAATGCTATGATACGGTAAACTGTTGTTCAGCCATATCTTGGGGTAGCTAAACTTTTCTTTTATATCCATTTTTTTCACAATGTTGATTCTATAAAGACAAATTTCAACTTGCTTTTGACAATTTTCAGATGGGTCATTCCAGAGTTATGGAACTTTACTAATTATTTGGAGCATGTTTCCTTGATTTTTCCAAATATCAGGAAATTTCACTGTTCATTCAATTGCATTGTATATGGCAAAGAATTGCAAACATGATGGAGGCCTGAACATTGAACAAAACCTGACTAAAATAGTAACGTTTTTGACTTGAATGAACTAGATGAGATGTCTAAAATATTATGTTGGATATGAATGTTGCTTTTTTTATCTGTTACAACACAGTTCTGGCAGCTTTCTAGTTTTTATACGACCGCAAAAAATTTTTGCGGTCGTATATTGGTATGACGTTGGCATTGTTGTCCAAAGACACATTGGTTTTCGCACAATAACTTTAGTTTAAGTGAATGGATCTCTATGAAATTTTACCATAAGGTTCAATACCACAAAAGGAAGGTTGGGATTGATTTTGGGGGTTATGGTACCAACAGTTCAGGAATTAGAGGCCAAAAAGGGGCCAAAAATAAGCATTTTTCTAGTTTCCAGACAATAACTTGTGGAACGGTGTATGGATCTCTCTGAAATTATAACACAAGTTTCCATACCACAAAGGGATGGTTAGGATTTGCTTTGGGGGGTTATGGCTCAAACCGTTTAGGAATTAAGGGCAAAAAAGGGGGAAAAACAAGGGTGTCCTGGTTAATGGACAAATACTTTAGTACAAAACATAATTTAAAGCAGTGTAAGGGAGGTAATTCAAATACATCATTTGAATTACCTCCCTTACACTGCTTTTAAATTATGTATAAAGTAATGGTTAATGAACAATTTAGACAATTTAAAAGCAGTGTAAGGGAGGTAATCCAAATACAACGTTTTGATTACCTCCCTTACACTGCTTGTAAATCAATTCGCAACAGCAAAGTGTTTTGCACAAAAGCAGAAAATTGAATATAAATTCAAATCATATAACCAATTCTAAGTTCTTTGACTACAGTTATTCTGTGTCAGAAACCTTTTATGTGTCAAATATTTAATTACAATCCAAATTCAGACCTGTATCAAGCACGAATATTGCGTCCATTTTTGCCCCAATTTTTCAGGGTCGTACCTCTGCGGTCGTATCCAGCTGCGTTCGGCGAAGCAATTTATTTCTTACATGTACCAAGTTATAGGGTTAATTTTAGATGCATAATTTTATATAGAGTTTCAAAATAAATCTAGTAAAATGTTTTAGCACGGATAAAAGTGTGTTGAAGGTTATAGATATTGTTTCTGACTTATTGACTGTATTACAATACCATGCACCTCAGAATTAACGGATTGTACACTTTCAGTGCTTCTAAATTAATTTTTCTTTTTCGTAATATGCAATTGTGTATTTTACGGAGAAAATAATGATATTCATCTGTTATATATTAAGATTATTCATTCCATTGCACATTTTTAAAAAAAATCAGTATGCAAAGAAAAGAAAGTTTTCAATAAAACTGAAAAGTATAGAATACAGGCAACAACCATTTACTATGTAAGTTTAGATGTTTGAATAACCAATATTCCTAGCTGGAAGATGTTCATCAAAAGAATTTAGAAAATATAATATACACAAGTATAAAATTCAGTTTTCTGAGCCCTTTAAATGATCTTACAATTTTTTTTCAAAATGCCCGAGTCCATTAAATATTCCTGACAACTCCCAAAAACATAGCAACCTTTGGGTAAATAGAGAATATTGGTTTTCACTGATGATAATTCTTTCCTGTGATATTACAGAGCCTATTACAGTCAATTACTAGTAGTCATTGATGGTAGTTTCTCTGCAAATTTGAATGTCTGATGTCATCACCTGCCTTCCATTATAACTACTTCTGTTTTTATAAACAGAAATTTTCAGAAAAATTATTTTGAAAATTAAGTTTGATTAATTGGTTTAACAAATTTCTAACAATTTATTTAAAGTCATACCATTATTTGCCCAAATTGTAGAAAAGTATAATTAGTTCATGTCAGTTCAGGTTTAGATACACCCAATACATGTACTATAAGCACAGGTACACATAGTTTAACATCTATACAATATATAACAATGAATGGTGTTGTATAAGAATAATTATAAATTATGTAAAATAACACTTTCATAACTAAATATGTTACGTTATATAATGTTTGTACAAGGAATAACTAAATATGTTACGTTATATAATGTTTGTACAAGGAAGTCTGATCTTGTTATCCTTTCTGAATGCAACCTTCACAATGCAGTGTTTGTTTTTCAGTCATTGATATGATGATGGAAGTTTTTAACGACCTTGACTGGCTATACAGCCCTTGCACGGTTTGCAATATTTATACTTATGAACTTTTATTCAGATAAATGGAACAGTCCCTTTTCCTCAGATAAATGATTTAGTCCCTTGTAAAACAAGGGCAAACATTTAGACATCATTCATACACTTTTTTGCATGTAAGATTAGACCAAGATACAAGAAATAGCACATGACATTCTCACACAAGAATCTGTTAAAATTGCATTTATTTTTATTTGCAATTGGCCCTTAATGAGATGTCTGGTATACAATGAGACAGCAAACCAATACCACAATATAAGTTATGTATTTTAGCATCATGCCATCGTCAGCTAATAATTATTTAACCCAAGAAAGTTAACTCCCATTTAATGACATTTTAAGTTTCTAAACCCTAGCCAGATCCTCATATTAAGTATAAGTTAGGTATGATACCTGTAATTTATAATTGCTTTTAATTGAGGATTTTATTATGTTTTAATTTTTAAAATTATAACGAATGGGCATGTTTTAAATTTTGATAGCATTTTATTTTATGCAACATTTTTTCGAAATGGTAATAACAGTTCTTGCACATGATTTAAAATCTTTTTAATTTATGTTTAAACTTAAATTTTAAACGATGTTTAATATTGATGTTTGTACAATATTATTGGGAATTTGTCTATATAATTTTCAGGCTATTTTATTAATATACTGTACTCATATTTACCTACCATAACTTCTGATTTTATATTGATACAATAATCTGCCCGTTGACCAGTAGAAGTTTTTTTTTGGGGGGGGGGGGGGGGGGGGTTTGTTGGTTTGCTGACTCATTGCAATTTACCCCACATCTCCTTTATTCATATCTTATTGCCTAAATGAGCAGTTGACTAGAGGAAGTACTTGTTTATGTATTTATGTATGTTATTGTCCACCAGATTTCAAATAATGAAAACTGTTTGTTATTTGATATTTCAAAATCATTTACAGGTATTTAATTTTAGCACATCAGATAAATGATTGAATGGTACAAGTAAAAATACAATAT